TAAGAGTTGCCCTTTTCATCATCTTTCTTCACAGCAGTAGAATAGTAACTAATACACATAGTAAATCAAAGACTCCATTAATGCCCACAGGCTATCACAACCATTCTGTGGTCAAGGATGCTCATTCACTCTGCCTGACAGACTCTGATGTGAATAAGAAAGACAGTCTGGGAAGCCAGTCAAATCTTAAGGAGCACAGTGCAGGATTCTCAGAAGCTCCAGGAAGAATGGCAGGCTGAGGCAGTCAGGCAAACTTAGTCTTCTGGGTTCTTAGACAAAGCCCCATTCGGACTCAGCTGACAAGGAATCAAAGCTGGTACTCCCAAAGGACAAAGGAAGGAAGCCAGAATTCTCGTCGTTATGAAGGGAAAAGTTTGTGCTTGAATCCTGGTGTGGTAGAATGAATTGCCTCCCTAGGGTGAGGAAATTTGTGTCCTGTGGCATTAATTGGGCCTGTATCTCAGGAAAATGGCCTCCAACTTTCAGGGCCCTGAAATGCATTTGTGTGACTGCAGAGGTTGAGCCAGCATTCCCCAGCCTCCAGACCTGCACCCATGTGGGAGCCACTGGCCACATGTGGCTGATGAGTCCTTGAAGTGGTGCTAGGGCCACATTTTCAAATGAGAAGACCAAAACACCATGTAGAAAAGGCAAAACAAACACGCAATGCATCCCTTAAATACTTTTGTAATGACTAATTTTAAAATAATGGTAGTTTTATCTACCGGGCTAAATAAAATATATCATCAGAATGAGGACAGTAGGGGAGGCAGATTTGAGGCAGAGGCTATGTGTGGACTGCAGTACCTTTGTTCGGTTTTGCTACAAAAACCTAAAACTGCTTTGAAAGAAAGAATGTTTAAGTCAACCATTGTAGAACATACTTATAATGGCAGCATTCTGGGACAGAACAGGAAGATCATGAGCTCCAGGCCAGCCTGAACTGCATTGCTAGTTTGAGGCCAACCTGGGCTATATAATCAGAACCTGCCTAAGAAACCAAAAACCAAAACAGAAGACTGTTTATAAATAAATTAATTAAATCAATAAATAAAATTTATATAAATATTAAGTTCACTTGTTCTTTTTTTTTTTTTACCTTTTTAACTGTAGCTGCTAGAACCTTGAAATTTATATATGCAACTAAAGATATGCCAAGCCAGGCATCATGACTCATACCTGTAATCCCAGTATTCAAGGGTCAGAGACAGGAGGATTGCCATGAGCTCCAGGTCAGCTTGGGCTATAGTATGAGATCCTGTCCAAAAAAGAAAACTGACTGAGGTGGTTTGAATAGGTATGGCCTGCATAGACTCATGTGTTTGGATACTCGGCCCACAGGGAGTGGCACGATTAGCAGGTGTGGCCTTATTGGAGGAGGTGTGGCCTTGTTGGAGGAAGTGTGTCACTGTAGAGGCGAGCTTTGAGGTCTCAGGTGATCAAGCTAGGCCCAGTGTGCCACACAGTTGCTTCTGCAGCCTACAGATCAAGATGTAGAACCTCTCAGCTCTTTCTCCAGCACCATGTCTGCCTGCACACCATCATGAAGATAATGGACTAAACCTCTGAAACTGTAAGCCAGTCCCCATTAAATGTTTTCCTTTATAAGAGTTGCCATGGTCATGGTGTCTCTTCACAGCAATAGAAATCCTAATGAAAATACTGATGGTGGGTGGGATATTTCTATTTAATAAATTCTCGTTTCTCCTTCATAAGCTGAAAGAAAACAGTTTTTCTGATCAAATACCTACATCTCATCCCACACTTTAGCAATCTCCATCCCATGTCATCCATGCTTATTATCCAAGTGTGTCTGCCAAGCCTGCTCAGAATACGTAGTGTACAGAACCCTGTTCAATTGGCATTTTCTAAATGCAGTTAGCCAGGGCACCTATTTCCCACTGAATACTAACTCATATCTTTCATTTTGAGGAAGACATCTTGGAAAACATGGCTCTAGATCGTCTGCAGCATTCCGATTCAATTGATTTATCACACGATTCTAAGGATATGGAAAGAAATCTTGAGTAGGCACGTGAGATACTTGTTCAGACAGGGAGAGTTAGAGGGAGAAATTACATTTCATTGATGGCTCCTGGGAGAAGCCACAGCTAGGTAGAAGCTGATAAGGAATGGAGTGTAGAGTTGGAGAGGGAAGATGAGCTTGGGTTCAATTTCTCAACAGAAGTGTACCCTGATTTTTCCACTTCTTGGGTTGCCTTATAGCAGTGGTTCTCAACCTTCCTAATGCTGTGACCCTTTAATATAGCTCCTCGTGTTGTAGAGACCCACAATCATAACATTATTTTCATTGCGACTTCCTAACTGTAATTTTGTTACTGTTGTGAATCATAATGCAGATGTTTGCTATGCAGATGGTCTTGGGCAGGTGACCCCCCACCCCAAGGGGTCATGAACCACAGGTTGAGAACCTCTGTCTCGAGGAATCAGTTTCCCAAGAACATCAAAGTCCTGGCTGCAGTATAAAGATACAGCGCCCTCAAAATAAACTCAAAACTCTAGGAAGAAGCATTGAGTTACCATGACTAGACAGCTACAGATTTCAAAGTTAGGAGAACATAAGACCTAAGAATAAGTCAAACCCAGCAAGAGCTGGGCCACCACACAGGGCTTCCCCTCTCACCCAGATGGCTCCAGGGAGCAGCTGAGGAGAACCCCCTCAGCGTTTATCTCTCCAGATAAAGCACGAAGCCACAGTTCACCACCTCTGATGGCTTCTGACAGAAGTTCCTATGTGGATGATAAGAAAGCTATTTCTGATGTCCAGCATTTCAGATGCCTTGCCGGATGTGGTGTTCTAAGTGGTTCAGATGTGAGTGAAAATTTCTCCTAGAAAAACCTCAAAATTTCTCCTGTTGTCTGCAAACTTCTTCACAGCTACTGAGGCTGGGCTTGGCGGCAATGCTCTCTGTAAACATCAAGCATGTACTCTGGGTTATATGTATTTTTCAGAGCTAGACATTGAAACCGGGCCTTCCTGCAGGCTAGACAAGCGCCCTACCGCTCAGAGCTAAATAACATTTTTGATAGCTCTATTAAGGTATAACTTATACACAATAAAATTCACCAATTTGAAGTGTGAGTGATCACAAACCTGTTTTGGAAAATTTCTACCGCCCTACCTTTCATCCCCAAGTTTTGGGGGGCTCCTTTTCAGTTAATTATCATTCTTAACTACGACTCCCAGAACTACCAATCTGATTGTTTTTCTGGTGACTTTTTATCGTGTGTGTGTGTGTGTGTGTGTGTGTGTGTGTGTGTGTGTGTGTGTGTGTGTGTGTGTATAGATGTGTATATGCAGTGTGTGTGTATGTATGTATATATATGCATATATATATATATATATAAAATCTTCATATAAGATTTCATGTTAATGGAGGAATACAATGTACTATGAGGTGTTTTGTTTCTGGCAATCTTTTGCTTATCATGATTTTGTTTGTTTGGTTGGTTGGTTTTGGTTTTTTCGAGACAGGGTTTCTCTGTGTAGCTTTGCGCCTGTCCTGGAACTCACTCTGTAGACCAGGGTGGCCTCCAACTCACAGAGATCCGCCAGCCTCTGCCTCCCGAGTGCTAGGATTAAAAGTGTGTGCCACCACTGCCCGGCACCATGACGTTTTTTAAGATTCCTCTGGGTCATAGGTCAGGACTCAGCTCCTTTTAATTGTAAACATTCCAATGCTCCTCACCAGTCTCTTTTTATCTATACATCAGTTGTTGGGCAATTGGATTGACTCAGTTCAGTACTCATAATATAATGACACTATAAATATGTGCATATCTTTAGTTGACATATATTTTTGTTTATCTAGGGTAATACCCTGTAATATAATTAGTTACTGGGTCATATGATAAGCGTATGTTTAACCTTTCAAGAACTTTATTTTCAAAATTGCTGTACTACTTTGCATTCCCAGCGGCAGTAAATCAGACTTCCGGTTTGCACCACAGTCTCAGCCCTTGTTGTCGGGCTTTTTAATCTTAGCTGTGCTAGTGTGGGCTTTACAGCATCTGTGCATCAAGTTGAATTTCCCATCATGCTAAGCATCTATCCAGTCATGTGCTTTTTGACTGTAGATGTTCTCTTGCCAAGTGCTTATGAAAATATTATGGGGTGGGGGCGCTGGAGAGATGGCTCAGCAGTCAAGAGCTCTGGCTGCTCTTCCAGAGGACCTGGGTTCAATTCCCAGCACCCACATGGCAGCTCACAACTGTCTATAACTCAGGAGCTGACACCCTCACACAGACGTACATGTAAAATAACAATGCACGTAAAATTAAAAAAAATATTTTCCTCACCTTATTATACTATTGGATTGGATTGTTACCCTTTTATTGAGTTGAGAGCTATATTTATGTTATCTAAATATGAGTCCTTTGTCAATTATATACCACACAATTATTTCCTCTTGGTCAATGGCTTGCTTTTTAATCTTCTCAATTACATTTTTGACAAGCTAATGTTTTTAAACTTTATGAAGTCTATTTTTCTTTGTTTGTTTTTTTTTTTGGTTTTGTTTTTTTTGTTTTTTTTTTTGGTTTTTTGAGACAGGGTTTCTCTGTGTAGCTTTGTGCCTTTCCTGGAACTAACTTTGTAGACCAGGCTGGCCTCGAACTCACAGAGATCCGCCTGCCTCTGCCTCCCAAGTGATGGGATCAAAGGCGTGCGCCACCGCCGCCCGGCGCTTCTTTGTTTTTTTTGTGTTTATTTGTTTTTTGTTTGTTTGTTTTGATTGTTTTTGAGACAGGATCACACTCTGTAGCCCAGGATAGGCTGGGATTTATTATGTAGAACAGGCTAGCCTCAAACATCTAGTGATCTTCCTATATCTGCCTCCTAAGTGCTAAAATTATATTCATGCACCATACTATCTAGCTTTGTAAAGTTTTAAAATAAATGTTTTTTTTAAGTCTCATATTTCTGTGTTCTAAATAAGAAATTTAAGACAACCCAACATCCCAAGGATCATCCTCACATATATTATTCTAGAATCTTTATGATACTAGCTTTCAGATTTAGCTCTAGGATCTGTTTTGAATTGAATTTTCAATCCATCGTGAGGAAAAGGTCGAGGCACCTTCCTTAATATAGATATCTAGTTACATATCAAAGTCTGTACTTTTGATCACCACAGTTTATCGTGACTCAATTGGCCACAGAGATGGGAGTCTCTTTCTGAACTCTAAACTCTGTCACGTAGATCTATACGCCTATCTTTATGACTACCACATTGTCAAGTGATTAAAGCTTTCACAGTAAGCCTGAAGATCAGGGAGTGCTGGTCCGTACCTTTGTTCGCTTAGAAAGTCGTTGTTTGCCTGGGCTGCATTTTAAAGGACGCTTTAGTGTCTGGGAGGGATAATCCTGTGCCAATTTCATAGCACAAAATGTGTAGACACCTAGACAGACGCTCCCAACTTCATACGGTGAGACTGGGCTCTCTCTTTGTGGTCACCACTCATTTCCCTATGGTAATGTCAGCTCATGAGAGCAGAGACCGCACGTTCTCTTCACCTCCCAGTCCCAAGCGTGATCAGGCTTCTGGTAGGTTTTCTTTCAACAATTACTTTGTCAACAAAAGGAGTAACCAGGTCCAAGAGCCACGCGGTGGCTTATCTCTAGTACCAAAGTCAAGGGCAGGCTGTGTCTAGAATTTCAGTTTCTGAATGTCTCTATTTTATCTTTTTTCCACAACACATCCGAAAGCAGTAGACAGAAGGAAGGAAAAGCAAGGGCGGGAGGAATGGAGGTAGGAAATAGATAAGAGCCCTTCTGGAAAGTTCTTTGAAAGGCTCTTGTTTTGAAACCACTTAGCCCATTACCTGTAGCTTCCAGCTTCTGAACATGCACAACATGCACGTGTCTATTCTTTGTGTAGGATGCCAAGGGATGCCAGTGATTCGCGGGTTCCAAACTACAACCTTGGCAGGGGACAATAGTTCTTTCCCTTCCTGACACAGTGCTAAAAAAAAATAAAGGACAGATGCGCAGGCCAGAATGGATCCAGAGGTCAGGAGACGACAATCCCAGCAGAACTGGCCAGGAATCACAGTGCCTCCAATTCCCAACATCTCTAGGGACCAACAGTCGGCAACTTTCCCCCTTCGCCACCGAATTTAGGAAAGGCCCTTACCTTTAGGAAAACAAAGAGTAGACATCCTGGAGAAGTGGATGTCAGGGGGGAGGGGGGGAAGATAACCTGGTATAAATCTGAGAGGAGAATACTCGGAGAAAAAGATAAGGAATGTATGAGTAAAGACGGAGGTGGCTTCAGTGCGCAACCCCTAATTCATGCGGCATGCAATCTTCTTAAATAGCGGTTGCAGGATGTAAATGCGCATTTGGAGGGCCGGGCACTGTCAATAAGCCCATCAGCCAAATTGTCTCTTCAAGTAATTACATGTCCCTCCTATTGAAATGAATGGGTGTCACTTACAGGTAACCGGGAAGACGTGGTCCCAGGAGCTTACAAGGTGCTCTGAAGATTGATTTAGAAACAGTGACTAAGGCAGATTTCTACCAGAAACAGCTATCGATCAGGAGAGAAAGGGATCAGTATGTCATAGCCAAGGAAACGCTCGCTTAGGGGGGATTTCATGAGCGCAACACGGTAGTCACTTCAGAGGCAAATCTAAGGTGAGACATGGCCCTGCCACAACTTGTTCTCAAGTCTGCAGGGGAGGGGCCGGGGCAGCATCCCTGTACGTGGCTCATTCCCTTGGTTCTCAGCTTGAGGCGTTTTCTCTGCATGAGATTAGGTTGCCTGGGAAGATGCACGTTATCTGTTCTCTTTCGTCACTTGCCTATCGCTTGTTTCCAGCTTCAAGAACAGAGGGGGAGCACGTATGCTTAGCCTGCCAGGCGGTGGGTTTCTTGGGAAGAACATGAGTCCCAAAGGCTGCAGTCTGTGTCCAAATCGTCCACTCTCTGTGTGATCCTGGGGAAAAACCAACAAAAAGCACATTAGTCCTCCCATCTGAAGGACAGAAACAATAATTTTGTAATCCTCACCTCCTAGCACTGTATGATTAAATGACACCCAGTCACTAAATGGCCCAATGTGCATTAAGACTTCAGTAACAAAATAAAATACAGCAAATAAATAGGTGGATCTTTTAAATGAGTAAGTAAGTGGTGTTCTCTGGCTGCAAAGACAGCAAAACAGTGGTCGGAAGTGTTACTGGGGGCTTACTTTGGGCCAGGCACTATGCTGGATGAACATTACTCAGTGCTGTTGGGAGATGGGGTTATTGAAGCATCAATAACAGCCTGACCATTCTGGCTCTTCTCTGTGAGCAGGACATTATTCATTAGAGAAGTCAGGTTATCAGGACAGCCCTTACCTTGGTGACAAGTGAGTCACTGGAGAAATCAGTCTTGGAATAAATAAGTGACAAGCTCCAACAGTAGACCAAAAGACAATGCAAGGATTTAGTGGCTCAAGGAAGCCCACAGGAGATCAAGAGGACCCAGAGACTCCCGACAGTGCAGAGCGGTTGCCTCCCATGGGCTGGAGTAAGTGGGAGAAATGGCGTTTCCAGGATGCAGTGAGTCAAGGGATCACAGCCACCCTGGGCTTGAATGATGAGTCATAGCCAAGCCATGGTGAGGCAGAAGCAGTAAGAATTCCTAAACTATTCTCCTCTCATTTGGTTGATTTCCTGTTGCTATGGCATAATGGCTCCACCCAACAAGAAGCTGGAGACGGTGGAGCCCAGGGGATGCTGCCCAGAATCATTTTTGTCTGGAGCAGAGAACAATATACAAGGGCTGAAGACAAACCATCTGGCTGGAAGAACCACAGAATAATGTGAATAGGTGCATAGAACCACTGCCCATTACACCTACTGGATTATGTTAGGAAATGAACAGTGTTGACCGTTAAACTGAGCAACACTCACAGAACTATTGTGATGTGCTGGGGTTGCTGTGAATGTGTTGCTCTGATTTGGTGGATAAATAAAACACTGATTGGCCAGTAGCCAGGCAGGAAGTATAGTATAGGCAGGACAAGCAGAGAAGAGAATTCTGGGAAGAGGAAGGCTGAGTCAGGAGTTGCCAGCCAGACACAGAGGAAGCGAGATATAAAAGTACTGGTAAGTCACAAGCCACGTGGTGAATTATAGATTAATAGAAATGGGTTAATTTAAGATATAAGAACTAGATACAAGAAGCCTGCCACAGCCATACAGTTTATAAGTAATATAAATCTCTGTGTGTTTACTTGGGTCTGAGTGGCTGTGGGCCTGGGCAGGACTGGAGAAAACTCCAGCTACAGTGAAGTTAAAGATGAAGGCAGGCTTTTTGTTTTCTTCTACAACTGATAAAGACACCAACAGTCGGGCTCATTGGTTCACGGAGGCCCATCATTTCTTCTTCTCAGACTTCACTGAGATCCCACACTTGCAAATGATGCCATATTTTTATTTTGTTGAATTTAAGAATCCTGGCTTTGTTAATGAACCCAGATCATCCTCACCTGCCGCTCTATCCCCTTTCATTTTTCTAGGCTAACAATCATCTGATTAAGACTGGGGCTTTGCCAGGCAGTGATGGCCTAGACCTTTAATCTCAGCACTCGAGAGACAGAGGCAGGCAGATCTCTGTGAGTTTGAGGCCAGCCTGGTCTACAGAGCAAGTTCCAGGACAAGCTCCAAAGCTACACAGAGAAATCCTGTCTCAAAAAACCAAAAAAAAAAAAAAAAAAAAGACTGGGGGCTTTTTCTGTTTGTCCAAACAGAACGTTTTTCTGAAAGAAGAATTTATTATCATTATTTATGATATATTTTTATTTTATGAAAATAAAGTTATTTTTATTTTTGTAAAAATAGAACAAAATACAATTCTAATTTAACTTCATTGTTGTTGTTTTGAAACACACTGGCAGCTCAGGCTTGCCTCAGACTCACCACGTAGCAGTGGGTGACTTTAAACTCCTAATTCTGCTGTCTCTCCCTCCCCAGTGCTGAGTTGACAAAGCTGTACCACCATGCCCAGCCCTCTAAACGGTTCTGAAGTTTACAACGTGGTGGCGCTAAGTGCAGACACACTCCTGTGCAAGCGTCACGGTATCTAACCCCTAGACTTTCCACCATCCTACATGGAAACGATACCCATTAAACAAGAGCTCTCCATTTCTTCCTTCCACAAGCCCTACACCACCATTCTTCTGCCTTTCCTCCTGTGCGGAGCTGGCTGCTCCAGGACCCTTGCAGACACGGAATTACACAGAACTTGCCTTTGCAGCTGGCTTGTTTCACTTAGCTTAGTGTTCCCAAGCATTATCCACGGTGCAGCCTGAGTCCTTCCTTCAAGAAGGTGAAAACACTCACACTGTTTTATCTGTTCAAGTGTCAACCCTTGGCTGTTGTCAATAATGCTGGTCTAAACACGGGTGTCCAAATACTCAGTCTTCAATTCTTTGGGAGTTATACCCAGACGTGAAATTGTTGGGTTGTGTGGTAATTACCTTTATCTATTTTGGGAAGCCATTATACATTATTTTACACCCGTCAACACTGTGCTGGGTTTCTAATGGGCCCACCGCCTCACCTTTACTTACCTCAGTTGTTTTTTTTTTTTATTGTTGTCGATGTTTGCTTTTGTTGACAGCCATTGCAGTGTGTATGAATTCGTATGTTGCTGTGGTTTTGATCCTTATTTCCTTAATGTTTGGTGTTGCCAAGCACGGCTTGAGTAACTTACGGCCCTCTGTACATTTTCTCCGCAGATATGTGAGTTTGAGTCCCTTGCCAATTTGAAAACCAGGATGTCAGAGGCTTTGCCGTGGAGCTCTAGGGACTATGTACACAGTCTTTCATTTCCCCACCTTACGTTTTTTTCTCTTGGTAACTTGAGGAGTATAAAACCCCTTCTCACTTTTCTGTGTTGTTCTGCCCTACTGGGAGGCACCAGCAAGGAGCCAGGAGAAGGACTCTCTTAGTCCATAAATGACAATCCTAAACATTTTTAAATGCTTTATTTTTGCATTTATTATATGTATGTATGTTGTGTAAATATGTCATGTGGGCAGGGGAAGACCCTGAGAGGCCAGAAGAGGGCGTTAGATCCCCTGGAACTGGAGTTACCTGCATTGTGAGCTGCCTGACATGGGTTCTGGGAACCCAAGTTGGGTCTTCCGGAAGGGTAGCAGAGCACTCATAACCACTGAGACATCTCTCTAGTCCCACAAACTTTTTTTTTCTTAATTTAGGGGGAAAAAACTAAAAAGTCCAGAGAGAAGCATCTCAGCTCCAGGTGTAGGCAACTCTAGCTATGGTGGCTCAGACTCAGGTTGTGGGGTCCCTTATTATGAAAAGGTGGCATCCCTCCATTCATGTTTATATTCCACCCCATGAGCAAGTGCCAGGCAAAAGACAGGTTCAGTTTCCCTTAGAGTTACCAGAAAAGGCCCAGCATGTTCTTCTGTGTTAACATTGATCAAAGGTTGAGTATGGGCTATATTCTCAGCACTTGAGAAGTTGAGACAGAAGGATCAGGAGTTCAAGGCCAGCCTAGACAACACACCCCTGAAATAGTGAGACACTATCTTAAACAAAACAATAAATCCTTCACAGCATCATTAAGGCCAATGTCTAAGAAAACATCCCTGGGGAATTTGAAGTGCTTGACTTGACAAGCGTTGTCAATATTGACATTGGCCATCATTTTGATTTACTCCTTCTATAGTTAACTTACTCCCCTTATAGAAGGAGGAAATGCTCAAGCTAATGGTGCATTACTCAGGGACTGTATTCTGAGTCCCCTTACTCATAAGATGCATGGGTCTAGTGGGTTAGAAAGAAAAGGCCATAGAAATAATTATGTTTAAGGAAAAAAATTGGTGTAGATGATTGTTCAATGAGATCTTTCAAAGCAAACAAACCAACTTCATTAATCACCAAATTCTGCCTGTTTTATGAAAATATAGAAATGGGATAGAACATGAAGATGAATGATCCAAGTCTGTGTCCTAACCCTCCAGCTGCCCACTGTGTGCCCTGAACACAGTCCTTGACCTGGGTGTCTGATCCAAGACAAGAATAGAGGGGAGACAGCAAGCATCAGCTAGACTGAAGAGTTGGATGTGGTATTGCATTTGCAGGTAGTATGTGGGGAAAGGAAGGAGGGCATGATTCCAGGACTAACTGTGAGTCTTCCTTAGCTCACATAGAAATGGAAATCACTCACAAACGATATTTCAATTATTAGTAGCAAGAAAGTGTTAGCATTATACCTCACAGTGGATCATCTCAATCACAACAGGAGAAACTGATCCAGAGCAATGGCTTTCTGGATGTTTTGATTGAAGACATCCAAGGCAGGACAAGAGATCCTATAGTTGACATATTTCACCCAATTCTACTTTCCAACTTTAAAATCCATTCATGGGTTGCAAAAGTAAACATTTGAAAATACTGCCTAAATCAAATAAGAATGAAAAAAAGAAACCATGATCGATTCAAGATAAAATCTGTGATATACAGATCTGAGTGATTTGTGCATACCTGTGTGATAATGAAGGTACTACTTCCTAAATATACCACATATATACTTCCTATATACAACTGTTTGCTGGTGGGTATACCTACATGGTAGTTATGATGTTAATAAGCATTGCATATGAGCAAGCTATCTTAGTGAGTGCCTTAGCTACTTTTCTATTGCCATAAACAAAACGCTCTGACCAAGGCAACTCATAAAAGAAAGCATTCCATTTGGGGCTTGCTTGCAGTTTTAGAGGGTGATTCTCTGACCATCATGGTGGGAAACATGGCTGCCGCCATGGGCAGATGCTGGAGAAGCATGAGGCAGAGAGGGAGAAGCTGGAAAATGGCCCTGTCTTTAAAAAAAAAAAAAAAAAAAAAGGACAGCTCCTAAGGAATAATACCCAAGATTGTACTCTGGCCTACACACACACACACACACACACACACA